TTAGTCAATTTGTTCAATTGTTACAATTTGGATGGTTTACGATATGTGAATTCTGAATGGCATTCTGCACATCTACTGTTCACGACCTTTCAAATGGTACTAAAATCAGTTGGGTATAAAGTGGTTAAAATGGTACCAAAACTTTTTGGGCTAGCGCATTATTATATAGATGTCAATCAGAGCACATGTGCAAGAGCACGCCTAAAACCGGTAATCATGCGATTTGATTGTACAAAAAAAAAAAACAAGAACGACAGTTCAATGTGAATTACCAGATGTGCTCCACACACACACACACACACTGAATGCTACAGTATTCCGTCTGTAAAACTTTGAAAGTTATTGTTTTTTTTAATTTGCCTCGAATTTATTTCAATTGGCGTGACTCACCCGGTCTTTTTCGGCGAATTTCTTTGGGTTGAATGAAATTTTTTCTGGTTTTAATTAAAATATTAATTAAGTCGTCATTCATTTTTGTGCGCAGCAGGAAAAAAGTGCTCGAAAAAATGTTACATAATTGATAACGCCGTTATAAAAACGTAAGAGGAACACGCGAATTTAATTAGAAGGGCAAAAATGCACCGGATTAACGTACGTGAGCGAAAGGAAGAGTGAAAAAAGGGGTTCATTGGCAGCAACACATTTCTGTACAAACATTATTGAAGTGCTCTTGAATAATGAAGGACAATTGGTAAAAATTGAGAGAATGAGAGAGTGAGAGAGAGAGAGAGAGAGAGAAAGAGACTGAAAGCGACGCTATACACTACTTCACGCATATAGAATGGTGATGTGCGAATTTTTCGGCTTGTACATGTGATGTACACCTTTAATCCGTCTACTCGCTTTTTTTTCCCACTCCCATGGCCCATAATGTACGGTGTGTGTCTGTTTGTGTGGTGGATGTGCTCAAATTCATGCTTTCAAATGAGAAAACAATGCCATGCTATTCACAGAAGAATGTTTTTTATTAAGCCAGAAGCAAATTGATGCAAGAACGTTGAGTGGAATTTAAAGGCTGACATGATTGCTGTTATTAGAAATATTCGGCATTGTTAGCTGGCGACTAGCCTTGCTTTTTATCAAATCATCAACTCAAACTGGAGTATTTGTTTTTCACCATTGTTGCAAATGCACAGACATACATTGGAAAGCCCCGCCAATATTTTCGGAATTCTTTGACGATATCGAAGCTATATTTTATCACAAATGACATTTTTACTTTATCGAAGCTAACCGTTTTTTGTCTCTCTCTCTCTCTCTCTCTCTCTCTCTCTCCTTCTCTCTCTTTCCTTCTCTCTCTTTCCTTCTCTCTCTTTCCTTCTCTCTCTTTCCTTCTCTCTCTTTCCTTCTCTCTCTCTCTGTGTGTGTGTCGCCAGCTGAAACACACACACAAATTCATTAGAAAAAGATTAATTTTAATGGAAATGTAATGAAGAAAGCAAATGCAGTCATCGACTGCATTCCGCATAGTAATCGTTAAAAAGTTTCTTTTTGGATTCTTTGGTCGAATCGAAAAAAAAATTTTGATGCTTTCCTTTCAACTATGTTTTACTAACGGTATATGTACGTTCCAGAGAACATCTGTAGAAAAGTTACCATACAAAAACATTATACACTCTTTGCAATTTGCAGCAAACTAATGTAATGTGACGCTTTGCTGTGCCTTGGATTCATCTCGTTCTTTCTGAAGCAGCAAGTCGACGACATCTTTTCTTCATCATAATTGTCATTAACATAATCATTATCATTAGGTAGTAACTGAACATCGATCCGTTCGTGCTGGTTCGCCGGTGCAGACACACGAATGAACGAAACACAAACATTGTCGATCTGCTTGAACGGCATCCCGAAGAAATTCATTGAAACATGCTGGCACTCGCAAAATATCTTGACACGAATCAGAATCAGAACCAGAACCAGCACCAGAACCGTAATGCCGAAAATTTCTAAGAACCACTGCACTGTCACGAGTCACAACGACTTGATGCAAACTATCATTCCATTAGTTATGTGAAAGTGAGCGAGCACACACACACATACACACACACAAAACTTATTCGACTAATTGCTAACGTGACAAATGGTATAGTTGAAAAGTTCCCGCGCGTTCTGACTAAATAATTGGTTGCTCAAAATGCGATTATGGGAAAATTTGTGGTTACCATATATTGAGATATGATGCGCTTAACGTTTGAGTTACAAACGTCTTTCACTCTCTCGCGCGACCAATCTTATGAAATGTGGAAAAAAGCAATGCAAAACCAAGAGAACGCCAAGGCGCAAAGAATGACACAGAAGAAGAAGAAGAAAAAAAACACGCAGAACAACGACAAGAGTTGAAAATGTGGCGAAAAGTGTAATTCGCATGGAGTTGAGAAAATTATGAAAATGTTTGTCGGAATGGCACATGTCGTTGTCGTCTTCGCTTCAGCGCGTATTATGTGATGATCAAGATTTGCTGACTGCTGCTGCCGCCGTCGAAATAATCCCATTTTCATCTAATGATGCAAAATGGGAGAAGCACATGCGATCACTCTTTGCGCTTACTTCGAATTTGGCAATTTAGCGATTAACACATATTGCGCAACACTTCAACGTCAATTTTCTCGTATTTCTCAAGTACCTTGAGCTCTTTTTCGATATGCCACATACTCAGTCAACTTGGGCTAGCCCAGCTTAGCGCGGCAAACATTCGACACAGCAGCCGCATATTCGCATTCTTCGACCTATTTAAATATTTTCTTGCTAAATGTTTATTGTAAAAGTTTTAAATATCGATTTGTAACTCCGGTTATTGGTCGAAGTTTTTCTCTCACTTCTCCTTTTTCTCAAACCGATTTCCATTGAAATGGCTCTTTATTGTTGGTTTCTCATTCTCCACCCCTCTATCTCTCTCTCTCTGTGTGTATGTGTGTCGGCATAATGGTCGAAGCTTGTTCGAGATACGGTTTTACATATTTCTTCAATGACATTTCGCTTGCACCAAACTTTATGTTCTTGTTCTGTGCTGTGTGTAAGTCTGTTTTGAAGTTTTCTTTTCCGTGTGCTGCTTTCTTTTTTTTTATTTGATTTTTTTTTTCTTGCTTCATTCACCGACAACAACATTAAAGAATCAAACAAAGAGCGCGTTCCAATGTTTGACTTTTGATTTTTCCTTCGATTCCACATGTAGAAATTCCTTCCTTTGGTGAAAATATGGTGGTCCTTTTTTATCGTTTCGACATCGACGTTTTTTCTTTCGTTCATTTATTATTATTCGGTCCATTGTATTGTTACGCTGGTCGCCCTTAATGTGTGTATTATTTTCTTCTTATGCACCATTAAAGTGAGACATTTTGGTGTGTCGCTAAGAAGCGTGTCATTTG